TGCGTGATCTTCTGTTGGAGACGTTCGGTGACTGCGTGTCTGGACACGACGGCAAAACGGATCACCGCGGCAGGATTCATGTCGGAGCCCTTCAGGCGAAAGCGCAGGATCGTGACGGCGTGGGTGGCCCCAACAACATGACCCGCAACTGCGGTCTCTGCGATGATGTGCGGGCGCACGAGCACCACGCCCGTGTCTCTGAACAGGCCAACCGTCGTCCAGTAAGGCTCCGCGGTGTTGTTTTTCAAAGTGACAGCGTCTTCGACGGCAGTCCTGAGTCCAACGGGAACGTCGTAGCTGCAAGCGCCTTCGACGTTCCCCGTGCGGAACAGCTCGGGGTCCCATACGACGAAGACGACCGCCGCAGTTTGGTGCAAGATGCACCTGAAGACATCTTCCTTTGTTGCCACCTTCGTGATGACCACCACGTTGAACACCAAAGCGATGGTGGACGGAACCCGATTGCCGTCTGCTGTACGAAGGAATCCTTCGTTCCACTTGGGGCGTTCCCCAACGTAGTTTATCCCTGGAGGGGACCTGGTCCGCTGCTTCTTCCGCGGTGCTCCCGCATCTTCCCGCAACTGCGGTTCCGACGGAGGCCCCGCGCGACCCCGCGACTGCGGTTCTGACAGCGGCGAGTCTTCCGTGGGAGGCGGCCTTTTCCTCGGCCGCGAATCGGCCGAGGCGGTTGTCTCGGCGGCTTTCTCCTGGGAGGCGGCCTCGTCTTCGGGTTGGGCGCCTCGTTTGGACTCGGCTGCGAGCAGCACGGCCGAGGGCGCGCTGCTCCCAGATGAGCCGCGCGCGGCACCTGGCTCGCCGGCCACCCCCGCAACTGCGGTCTCGGTGGCGGCTCCCGTCACTGCTGGTTGGTCCTGCTGCTTCGTCGGCGTCTGCGCCCGAGGCCCCCATTTTGCCTTGGGGGTCAAGTGCGCCCTGCGCAACTGCGCCTCTTCGCGCCTCCCACCAGCAGAGCTCCCACTCGCAGCGCTTATCGGCGGCGGCGGCCGATATTCCCGCGAGGAGCTAGACGACTGCGGGGAGGCCTCGCGCGGCGGTCGCTCGGGGCTTCCGCAACTGCGGTCCTCCGTCGGCTCCGCGACTGCGGCATCCGCGGCAGCCCCTTGCAGGCCGAACCTTTCCCGCAGTTGCTGCTTCAGCTCGGCGAACCGCTTGTCGACCTCGGCTTTGCGACCTGGGTCCATGGCGTGGCCGCGCGCGGCCCCCGTCCGACGGGGGAACTGCGGCCGGCTTGGGAGAGGAAGGACAACGAGGGAGACGGCGGGGATGAGGACGAGGAAGGCGAAGAGGAGGATGGAGAGGACGCGACGGAAGAGGATGGCGCGAAGAGCTCAGACGAGGGTGAAAGGAGCAAGGGGACTGCGACGAGGATGACGGGGCAGAAACGGAGGAGGAGGAATCAACAAAGTCCGCAACTGCGGCCCTCGGGGGGGACTGCGACGAGGACGACGGGAAATGACTCGGCCAACGGAGGCGGGCTACGGCCAACGGAAGGAACTGCGACGAGGAGGAAAGGCGGAGGGAGGAGACTGCGACGAGGACGACGGGGAAGGGGCGACGAGGACGACGAACAACTGCGGATCCATCTGTTTAAGTACCTGTCTCCGCAACTGCGGCCGCGCTAATTAACGTCACGAGTGCTTCAACGGAGGTGATGCGCGCCCGAAGCACCTAATTACAGCGGTCAGTCGTGGGAGCGCCGCAACTGCGGCCAAGCTGTATGAAGTCGCTAGAAGGCAGCGCCGCAACTGCGGCCGAAAGCGCGCATAGTGAGTCAAACGAGCGCGGCGTCACGCGATCGGTCCCCGCAACTGCGGTTCCATGGCTGCGCAATCCCGCAACTGCGGTGTCAAGGCTGCGCGGACCACCGCGGTTGCAGCTGCGCCCCCTTGCTCGCGTCGAACCGCCCAGGATTCGGATGGGCGTGCAGCATCTTCCAGAACGTGAACGTTCCGTGGCCATCGCTCTTGCCGAGACCTGCCCTCGGGCCCCGCACGGGATGCGAGTGCGGCTCCACCTCATACGTGTTGAACTTCGGGCTAGACCAGGATGGGTGGACGCGAATGCCCGAGCCGTCGTCGCGGATGAGGACGAAATCCCACTGGGGCAGAGGGATTCTTTGCGCCTGTCCTCTGTCCACCCCTTTCGTGTGCCTCATGTTGTCGAGACTGCTAGGGCACGGGCGGCACTCGCAGCGGACCAACCCGCGACTGCGGTCATTGTCAGGGCCGCACACGACGCGCAGCATTGTAGGTCCATCCATCTGCGCGACCATCTCCAGCCAAGACCACGGCACTTTGACAGTGTGGTCCCAGTCCCAATCCCTGTTGTCCTGCGCCTTCCCCTTTGCGCGGTACTTAAGGATCTTCGAAATTTCCTCCGCAACTGCGGTACCTCCGAAGACGGGCGTGCGGCTGCCGAAAGGGTTTTCTCGGTCTTCGTACTCGTCTCGGAACCACTTCAAGGCCGCGTTGTGCTGCTTATAATTGCCGTTCCAGTTCGCCCTGAAGTTCTCGAAGAATTCCAACTTGAAAATTGGCAGCGGCTCATTGCGCACAATTTGAAACAGCGCAACTGCGCCTTGTTCTTCGCGCCCTGGGGGAAGCAGGGGACCGCCTCCTTTGCCCGCCGCTGTTGCGGCCGCGGGCTCCGCGGCAGGAGAACCTGCCGAGGCACTCGAGCGGCCACCTTCCCATGCATTCCACCAGCCACCCTCGTCGTCCCACCAGCGGGCGCCCTCCATTCCCCAACCCTCGCATCCGTTGCCGCCCCATCCGCCGCCCTCCCATCCGCGACTGCGGTCACTTCCGTCGCCGCCATCCTGCGCTTTTCCTCTCCATCCGCCAAGAGAATCTCCGCCGCCCCAGCCGCCACTGCGGTCACCTCCGCCGCCGTATCCGCCACTGCGGCCGCCCCAACCCCCACTTGTTCCCCAACCGCCGCCGCTGCTCTTTGAAGAATCCGCAACTGCGGCCCGTGTTTCCTCTTCCGCTTTGTCATCCCACCCTGCACGCATCTCTGCCCCGACTGCAGGCCGCGGAGGCGGGCGCGAGCCCGCCCAACCGCCGTGAAACCTACCGTCGGCGCGGGCTTGAGCCGAACGTGCATGGAGGAGGAGGATGAGGAGGAGGAGGGTGAATGTGAGGAGGATGATGCGTTCCTGGGAGGTGTGCCTTCGCGTGCAACACAAGAGCCCTGAGAATTCCTGAGGCCCCTCCAACAGCCAAGGACGCGGATGACAAGAAAGTCGAGAAGATTGGGAACCGATTGAGGATTAAGAGGCGTGCGACGAAAGGGATGATGATGACGAAGAGGAAGATCAGTGAAGGGGAGGAGCGGACAGGAATTATGGAGGAGTGATAGCAGAGGAGGAAGAGGGGGAAGGGGGAGGAGGAGGAGCGGAGAGGAGGGAGAGAAAAGGGGGGTAGGAGGAGGAGGAAGAAGGGAGGAGGAGGAGGAGGAGGAGGAGGAGGAGGAGGAGGAGGAAGAGGAGGAGGAGGAGGAGGAGGAGGAGGAGGAAGAGGAGGAGGACGACGACGACGAGGAGGAGGAGGAGGAGGAGAGGGAGAAGGAGAACGGGGACAGGAGGACAAGGACGGATAAATATAACAAATGAGGGGGAGGAGGCGGAGGAGGAGGAGGACGAGGAGGAGAAGCAGGAAGAGGAGGAGGAGAGGGGGGAGGAAGAGTGCGCGTGAGACTGGGAGAACGAGGTAATTAATTAGAGAGGGAACGGGGGAGGAGGGAGGACAAGGAAGAGCATACAGCTACGAGAAGAGGAGAAGGAACAGACGAAGGCTCCTGCTGATCGCATTTCCGCATCGTTCAAAGCAGTGCCGGGGCACTGCTTTGAACGACTGGTGATGTTCAAAACAGTTCCCCGGCACTGTGTTCCATCGTCGCCGTTATAAGGGCTATCGGATTAGCTTGCCTCCCTCCACCCTTCTCGCTGCTGTCTGGTTCCCTCCATTCCCCCCATCCCTCCATTAGACGAGGAGCAGGACGGGAGGGGGCCTCTCCCTCCCTCCCCCCCCCCTCTGGACATCCTGGGCGCCGCTCCCGGGCCCGGAGGGCGCCGCTCCCGGGCCCGGAGGTCCTGGGCCCGGGAGCGGCCTGCCCAGGATCAGCGCTGGCTTCTGTGTCGGCGCCCGCCGATCTCCCCTCCTCTGCTGGGGTGCCGCCATGGGGTGCAAGTGGCCCGCGGCGACCCCCGGGGCCTCTTGCAGGGAGGCCCCGTCGCACGGCGGTAAGCTGTGCGGTGGCAGAGAAGCTCAACTCCGAGCGTAGTGGCGGAACGCACGCGACGGGGCACTGCCCGCAGCAGCGCCCCCACAGTGTCCTTCTTGAGAAGGAAATGAATCGTGTGTTGGGAGGAAGGGGCCAAGAAGATGCAGGGCATGACTGTGTCATGAGCCCATTCCATATACGCGATCATACGGATGATCTGCTCATGTCTCCCAACCCCATCCTCCCAACCCGACAGCTGTTTGCCTGACTTCTGGGTGTCGGTCGGGCCGATCTCTACGGACTCTGCCATCGGCGGGCGGCGGCCGGCGCAGCGGCAGCGCGCCACTCGCGAGGCCCACGTGGCCTCCAGAGCACCCTCCTCGAGGTCTACGGGGGGAGGGTGGGGGCAGGCTCCGAGAATGCCGCGCAGGGGGCACCGTGGGCTTGAATCCCCTCTGTCGGCCTCCGATGCCCCCTCCGCCGCGCGCGCGCGTTCGCCCCTCCTCTGGCGGATGTGAACGGGGTGGGGGCAACAAGCAGGGGGACAATCGTGGGTTGCAGGAAAGTGCCACTGCGGGGCCGTCCTAACAGCCACCGCGGCCCCAAGTGGTGCTGGAAAAATGCGCGTTTTCCTGCACACCCCGCTCATTTCCCCCACGTTGCCTTCCAAACCCCAGCCAACCTCACCCCCCGGGCAACCCCAATCCGTCCTTTCGTCTCCCCCCCAATGCCTTCCGCCCTCCGCCCCAGCAGTC